AAAAATGTGGATTTACCACACGACCGTCATCTTCATGACCATTGTATTCAGAGTTCAATTAAAATAAACTGTGAGCTTTTCTGAACAAGAAACATTACTGATTTTGGGTTTTAATTATTAAGTGATAAATACAATTTCCAATGATGTATTACTTAACTTGTAGTGTCAGTTATCATGCCAAGCCCATATACCTTATTCTAACTTCCGGACATCCTATTTTATTCATTTTACTTGAGCCATATTTTGACCTTGTCAATTATTCGCTTATTAGCCTTGACTGTTTTCACATGAGCGTATATGTGTGTGCACTTCTTATTTCATTAATCACATGTCTTTACCTTTAATTTGTCTGACTATAAATATTGAGTAATGCTTGACTAAAATGGAGTTAGCTTCCCAGCCATCCTCCCTGTGCGTCATTTTTGCTTGGCTCTGTTTCATTCACTTCATATACAAAATATATGTATTCAAATGCCATTCTCGTTAATTGACTTATTTAATTCCGCTATTGGATAACGCGATTTAAGTCAACGATGATATACGAGAATCAGCGATAGAAAACATCCATACAATCTAAAATGGGATTCGAGAACAAAGGGCCCCTAAAGTGGTGAGCCCTCCAACGAGTATCGCCGATCTAAATGAGGACAAAATCAAACTACAGGCTTCTAAAAACTAAGTGGCATATGACAAAATTGCTCAATCCCTGCTGACTAGAAAAACATATTACTGGTTGCTAAACAACTGAGGATTAGTTCAGTTGATAAGGCTTTAGAAAATCGGTTCAGCATGACTGAAAGAAACGTGTGCTGTAACCCATTATTTGCAGTGAGCCATTAGAAGTAGTTTAGAAAATCGGCCTATTTCAGTAGCTTCTCGTCAAGTGGTTACAACTATTTATGTATTGAAATGTACCATTCAAGTAAAATATAATGTGGCACAACTGACAGTGGTGATGGGAAGAATTAAAATGACAGGGATCATAAAAAATGATATTGACAGTGTTATTCTAATTCTTTCTGTCAATAATGTCAATTTTCACATATTATGATTTACCTTAATGCTACATCCCAATGCATATACGGTTATAAGCAGCTGATGAAAAACCATGAAATATGATAAATTCAAATCTTTCTACTTCAATTGTTTTTTTTCGGCTTTATTCAAATTCATAAAATGAACCAATCGCATGATATTTCAGTGGTTGTGTCAGTACTGGTGGTGGTGTGACTGATTATATTAATCTTGGTTTAATGAATGTCAAAGGAGTTTGTGTTAATCCAGTCCATCACTCATGGCATCATGATGTTAGTTTGGCTGTAAAGGGTCGTGTTTTCAATAAACCGATTAGAGCAGCTTTGCTCTGTATTTGTGAAAACTAGTCTCTCCGAGTTGGGGATGCTTGACAACTCTCTGTGTTCGATCATCTTTATTTTTGAAAGCTTTCCTGATATACATTGGCGACATCATATTAGGAATCCAGGTCTACAATGTGTATTGCATCATAGTGATGACAATTTATATGACGTTAACAACTGGGAACATCGATTCTGGTGGCTTTTACATGTTTTACGATTACCACCACAGCATCCCACAAATCGTGTTTTGTTAGCCGGCTCTGGGATTAGTTGGAAAAGGCGAATTGATGGCCATTTTACGATATGGTGCCTGAGAGAATGAAAGCTGTTCAGGGCTAGCGCATGTCAATTCATCATAATCGCTTGGTCCGAAAGATAGTGCAACACAGCGTCTTGAGAGTTATACTATTCGTAACTCAATACTAAGTTTCTTATTCCGAATGCGTCAATTAATTGATTATAAGTAAAATAATATATTTCAAATAATCTCAGCGATTGAAATTTAACTGATTCCAACGTTTCGTCCACCTAACTTGTCTGGACTTCTTCAGGGTGATAGTGAAAGAAATATATAGCGTTTAACAATCAAATCACGTCAAGTCTATACTGTGCTAATACATTCATATACAGAACTAAAAACTATTACATTCAATTATAATATCGATACCATCCATATAAAAGAGGATGAAACGATGAGAAGTTTTGATGTACCTTCCTTATTTATTAATGCACCTATCAACAGAGCATTGGATATTATTTATGATTGTTTAGAATCTAACTCAGATTTGAATTCACGATGTCCGTCAGATCCATCCGAAGCTATTAGGTGCTTGGAATTGTGTTTACAATCCACATTAGTCACATTTCGGGGAGACCTGAACAGAAAAATAGAACGTATAACAATGGGTTCACTAGTTTCTCCGATTGTAGTGAATTTATTCATACATACCCTGGAAACCAATGCGATCACAAGATGTGCACATCTACTAAAAGTCTGGTTATGGCATGTAGAGGACATTTTTACTATCATTAAACGAAATGGTTTGGAAGAATTGCTTGATGTAAACAGCATTTCAGAGAGCATCAAGCTAACACAGGAAATAGAGTCCAGTGACCACAAACTAGCGTTTCTCGATTGTTTGATTGAACGAAGACATAATAATAAATTGAAAATAAGTGCATTCAGGAAATCGACACATTCTGAAAGATAATTAGATTGTAGTTGGGCTTATGCGCTGTGTACGAAAGTCACTCATGTTAAAAACTTAATCAACAGAAGTATTAAGCTCGTTACAGATAAGGAAGACCACAAGTTGAATTGAATAGAGGTTTGTCTACACTTGGGGATAATATCTACCCAAACGTTTCTAAAGAAGATTATTAAAAATGAAAGAAAAGCTAAACTAGAATGTATTTCGAAAGTTCACCATGGCCACCCCATACCGTAGTGACACACTGGAAGAAATCAGAAGGATTCTAAACAAGCATGATATGAGAGTGTATTTTCAGGTTAGTGACACCATAAGATGGGCATTAGTGAAGGTTTGGGATAGGTTCCCGAAGGAGGAACAACAGAATACTGTTTATGAGACTAACGGTCATGAATGTGATGCAGATTATGTGGGAGAAACTTCAAGGCAATTTAATGTAAGATCGAAGGGACACAAAAAGTGTGTGAAAAATGTTCTCGAATCCTTGGTTGATATGAAGGAACTAGAGAATAGGTCGGTAATAGCGTTACATGCGTTGGAAACAGGACACGAGATCAACTTCAGAAAGGTTTTAACACTCATAAAGAAAGATTGACAGCAGAAGCGCTGTATATGTGGGCAAATAAGAACAGCCTGAACGGAAAGGGTAATATTCAACCATCAACTACTTGGTAAATGTTCGTTAACAAGTAATTGGATCCTTTCTTTATCCAACCTGTTTATTTCACATGCGTCGTTATTCTGACTGAAATTAATGTGGGTCAATTTAGCAATAGAATTATGCATTTAACAATTCGCATTTTACTTTCACATCGACGATTCAGAAACAATTTTTTAACCTTCAACTTGCACTTTAATATTTCCTTCATATACAAACAAATTAACACTTAGTATCAACTACTAACAATTCAATTTTACGCATACATGCGCACAAAATTTGTTCGGTCATTTATTTTCACATGATTCGCCTTTAACTGACTCATGTTATCCTACTTATTAAAGTCAAGATTCAAAAATGAATGGATTAGCGCTATATATTTCTTTGATTATCACCCTGAAGAAATCCAGACACGTTTTTCGGACAAAACATTGGAATTATTTGAAATTTCAATTGCAGAGATTATTTGAGACAGTGGTAAACGACTTAGGGACATGTGAACTGTCGGGTCAGCCCGTTTTAAAATATGGAAGACAGAAATGAAGGCTATCGACCCTATATCCTCGGCCGACAACTGGATACCTGACAGAGATGCATCGGTAGAATAGGCATGGACTTGTAGAATTATGGTCTACATCGAAACTAGTATAGTTCTCTTAATAGATGCAATCCTAAAATTGAAGATTAGATAACATGTAACTGACTGATCTACAAGATTTCACGTGGATGTCACATCATTATTCATACAGAATCATTCGCATTGTAAAAATCATCAATATATGGTGAAAAAAGTCAACAAATATCAAAACGATATAGAAAATCTCCGGCTCTGACATAAAAGGGTGGGCAGACAAGAATCATGATGCCGAATAAGGAAACACGTAAGATCGAATCCGACTGATCTATGAGTATCCCAACAACAGTGAACAGGTTCTCCCCGCTGATGTCATGTAACTTGCCTTCACCACCTCTAAGTTGCAAAACGGATAGTAGGCTTGAGAAATTTCACCAACCTGACAATGTCGAACCTTTATCTACTGGACTATATGCGTCTTATCCACAAATATCACTGTCGTCACCTGATTCTCCATGTTACAACCCCTCTATCCCTGTGTGCAGTATGCCAACGTTAAGACTGGTTCACATACAAGACACTATACCCACGTGCATCGAAAAGTCAGAACAGTCTGCCAGACAGTATGTTCTACCAAGGCCTAAATCTAAAACTTCAAAAACTAAAGAGTCTGATAGTTCATCTTATACAAACCAAAATGCTGATAGATATAGTACTAAAATCCGTCAGCTACAAAATTCTCTAGCCGAAATTAACAGCAGACTTGAGCAACTAGCACCCCTCACACATATACGGGGCCTTGACACTGATAGAAATCTTGAGCAACTCACTAAAGCGTAGTGCATTTTGGAGTTTGTGGCTGAAGAATTGACGAAGAGAATGATGTCTCCCTTCAATGCAGTTGTGTATAACCTCCTCGACCACACACACCTATCTAATTGAAGGGATATTTGCCTTAGAGCATGAATGGTGTGACAAACTAGCTAACATCGAAGTCACACCACATGGTCAACACCTTACGCGGACTACCCCATTGAAGTATCAAGGTACTATAGATGCTTTGAAGACTGTACAACACAAAGGACGTTATTACAGAAATATATTAGTTAAGATAGATACAAGCGGAAGTAAGACCACTGCCGCATGGGCCAGTCCGGCAAGGCTCCTAGGGTATCGTCCACTGATGGGGGTTGCGAGCACTTGAAGGTCAAACTGTTGCAGAATGATTAGTGCGTCACATCGACAATTCGTGAAAATTTTCAGAAGGGGTCAAATCAAGACATTTTTAGATTTGAATTGAGTTCAGCCGCACCATGTGTAGTAACCTTCATTCTTCAAGTAACGAAGACGATGCCATCGTGTTGATGCATGGTATAGGACGAATCTTCAATGATATTATGTTATCTCGAAGATTTAGAAGTTGGGACAATTTTGAGACCTATTTGAAAGAAGTACATAAGGTAATATGACTTCTGTAGTTAATAATTATTTTTTTAGTATACGCATACTAAGTACGTTATGTCAGTATGCAAAAAGAACAGTGATGATACAACTCTAAAGTACTTTTTCGTGAGATATGTCTGTACATATATGTCGTACATATACGTCCATATATGGACGTAAACACAGTTCGTCAGAGTCAGATGCTTGCGTTCAGGATGTAGATGATGATAGTAATAATCATTCTTCTGAAGAGCATACAACTTCTAACTCGCCAACACAACCTAGGCAAAAGAGACAAATGGTTCAAATGGTTGTGGACGGAATAGAAGAAGCTTTCGCTTAACAGGCTTCCGTGTCTAGTAGCAGGGGATCACGAAATCCTCCAGGCAGGAACCTAGGTATGTTAACAATAAAAGAGGAAAAGAAATTGGTAAATCATAGTGCGATGCTGTCCTTGGTCCTTAAGAATCGGTCAAGTTGCCTCTTGAAGGACTCCTGAGAAGTCGCTTGGACTAGCTCGGCCGGCAGCGAATTCCAGCTTTTGACAACTCTTAAGGAGTAGAAGTTGTGTCTACATTCCGTCTTGCTATGTTGTGCTTCCAGTTTCTGGGTGTTACCCCTTAGGTTATTATTCGAACTAAGCTTAAGTAGGTGTTTAAGAGGATGTCCAGAAGTGTTAAGAATACTATAAGCCATTAATAAATCACCTCTAAGACGCCTATATTCTAGTGGGTAAAGGTCTAGTGAACGGAGGCGTTCTTCGTAAGGCTTAGATTTGAGTCCTCGAACTGACTTCGTGGCTCGCCGTTGGATACGCTCCAAAGTGACCTTATCCTTTTGGAGTGAGGGGGGGAGTATTATGTTTCCGTACTCTAAATGGGGACGGATGAAACTATTGAAGATTGTGTGGAAAGTTCTTCCGTCAAACTGACCAAAAATGCGCCTCAACGTTACCAGTGCAAGGTTTGCTCGGAAGGCATTTTTGTCACAGTTAGCGTAAGACGACGTCGGTCATCTACGTATGCCTTACTTCAAATGAATTTATCCTTCTGGTCGAAATATTGCAATTGTCAATCAGTATTTTGGGTCCGGGCAGTAAATGGTGAGTTGAAACTCACCTTTATTAAAACCGTGCACAACCATCCTTGCACAGAAGGATATATTTCTGTCGATCCATCGAAACGACAGTTGACCTCAAGTGAACGCTTGTATTTAAAAACGTTTCTACTGAGTAATACACCAACTCGTAGCTTACGGTATCTGGTTTCTTGCAAGTTCAATAAACAGCTTACCAAGGACGATATCGCCAGAATGCGTTCACAGTTGTACCCAGGTTGTTGAACTCACATTGTAATTAATTGAGTTTAGACACTAAAAATATCAATGACATTTTACAGCGCGTTCAAGCAAATACTGAAGTTAAAGTATTCAATGAAAATGGGAACATGTCTATGATTTGCTTCAGCCGCAGAGAGCAAATAGCTGTTTACCACGCGTTCCCGGAGGCAATATGTATTGATTCGACTTATCAGACCAATAAAGTCGGGTAAGTAACGATTAGTAATAAATTTATCTGAAAGTTTTCCACTGTTCCAGCTAGTGGTGACTGATAGTCTTGGGCAAGGGCACACTGTTATGTATGCTCTTTGCAGTCAAGAACGACGCGATGTCGAAAAACTATTGGAATGTTTTAAAGAGATAATGTGCGGTACTTATGCTACACGCACTTTCATTATGGATTCGGCAGCGACCGAAATTTCGGCTGTGCAGTCTGCGCACAGTCATTCTAACATAATACTTTGTTCATTCCATGTCCTGAGAGTGTTCTTCAGGAAGGTATGTGTTAGCTGTACAAACTATTTTCCGTAGTTCCGAAATCCTGATGTGCGCAAATGCTTGGAACACCTTGTGAAGACTAGACGGTCTGATATGTGAGCTTCGCTTTTCATAACGCATTATATTCAGATTTACTCGAAAGTACGAACATCTAAGGACGCATTTCCCACGGGCGTTTGATTACATAAAAGATTACTGGATTGCCAGGAAGTCAATATGGGCTCGCTGTTACCGGCGACATGTATTAAGCCTGGGCAACCACACAAACAACCGTGTCGAAAGTGCTCATAAACACCTAAAAGAATGTCTCAGAAGAGGTGATTCCCTGCTATTGACATTTTTGGAAACTTTGGAGTAAAACAGACATCGACCTACGTTTGCGCCCTTATGATGCTGTGAAGGATCTTCAACGTTTTCCAATTCTTCAGGTAAGAAATGTAGTTAAATGTATCATTAATTCCAGGTTCCAATATCATTTCGAACTCTTCTAAATGAGTTCACATCTTTTGCAGCTAAAATTGTAGCTGTAAATTATAAACGTGTTCGGACAATGAGACACGAATTTATAGAAGGAGAATACATCCGGTGTTACGACAAGGGTATGATGTATGTTGTTGATACTTTACGTGCACGATGTGCTTGTGAGCGTTTCAATGACTACATGCTCCCCTGTGGTCATATTTTGTATGCACATTCTAAAGATCTGATTCGTGGAGGTATGTGTGTTCCTTTATCTCTATAAGTTTTGTAGACTTATTTCGACAAGAAAGTACATAATGGACCTGGTTCTTCGTGCGCTGGGCAACATCTCAATCTCTACAGGGAGTGATGATCTGCTAGAGAAGTTCACTAGCAACTACCATTCAATCCATGCTCTTAGTGAACCTTTGGCAAGTAAACTCATCCGTTCATGCCTCGAAGCATCGGAAGACAGGCGCACAAGTGATGAGTTCAATCGGTGCTAATGATGAAGCTACAACGTCAGAATCCATTGTTAATACAGACCATAGCTATGCTTCTTGATAACAAGAAGTTCTAATATTGTAATCTTTTTAGTTTTACATAAATTCACTTATATGGCCATTGACTTATTCTTATAGCGTAACGGCAGGGAGTGTACTGTGCAGTCTTATGTGGCTGTGAGACAGGGATGTTGTTTCGCGTTCTTGTGTAATAATTACCAGTTTGGCGCACACGCGATTAGTCATACATACCGTTTACCAAATACTGCTACCTTGAACATGGTGTACCATACTAGTAGTTCGAATTTCGACCTGTCACGATAGATACGAATTGCCGTAATTAAAAGATTGGTGCGTTATAAATGAAAACGTTTATTAAAGTTTGAATCTAGCACAAATGATCCATTAATAGATAACTTCTATTTCTCAGGAATTGTTCCCGTTAGGTTTGTGAACACTTGCGAAGTTAGCTGGAAATAAGATAGACAGGAAAGTTATTTCAGTATAAATGTTTACCAGAAACGAGTATAAAAAAGGAAACCAGTATTCAATTACAGATCGAAAGTGCATTTAGCACACCCTTCCTTTGGATAGTCAATCACGCTTATTTCCTTTATCTCTTGCATTGCTTAGGAAAGTCTGGGTCACAACGTACACGGATTGTATTATATAATTCTTTGGACAGGTTGCATTTCGGAAACTTAGACGATGAACATATATAAAGACTACTGTGTGAATTTACTTTGAATCGTCCTGTGTAACCTGCAATTCTTGATGCATATTCTATTCTAGTCCCACGTAAGTTATGAGTAATTGTCATTTACGGCATCAGCACGTAAGCTAGACAGGCCTTGGTTGATTTCCGAAGATCATCACATAGGATCTCACACAATCTGGCGGTCTGCTTGAATATCTGGGGTACCTGTTTCTGCCATCTGATTATTTCAACAAGTTCGTAACTCATACAGTAGTACAAATTCTTAATTTTCACACACAATTATTCGTTAAAGCGATTGGTAAACCTCCCCATGAAAGTATGAAGAAGACGAAAATAAAAAATGAGAAAACGTTTATTGATTTTTCATGACTACTAAAGTGGAAAGATAAGTTTACAAGTTGTATAAATAGTGGTATAAAATAAAGCCACAAAGAACTGTTAATCGTAAACCTGCTGTCTAGCTGTTTATAACTCTTAAGTAAAAATTGTAGACTTTTCTCTCCACCTGATTCGCGAAGCGTTCACCATATTTCTCAACAATTTGTTGTTTGCACATTCTTTGGAGCCGTTGAAGTTGTATATATTCTTTACTCCGTCTCCGTAATGAAATTGCTGTGTTGTTTTGTAAGTTCTGCGTATTGTCTAATTTCCATCTGCAGCAACACCTAAGAAGTTGATGAGCTATGCAGTTTATATTTTATAATTTAAATAGCTTACCTGTTAGATTTCGTCTTTTAACATATCCCAGCAGGAGATGGCGGCACGGATATCGACACATATTAAACGTGCTACAATTACATTGACAAATACTTACATCCACTTCGTAATGTTGTCCGCGGTCAACCATGAACAACCACTCGCCGCTTTCATATTCTAATTTAACAAAACGCATTTTTTTAAGTTCGTATAACACCTTGGATCTTGCAAATGGAGTCAACATGTTAAGTAAGGGGATAAGACGCTGTGGAGCATCATAATTGTATGTTTTTCCACTGATTATTTGGTCTTCAATGCTTTTTCTAGAGAATGTCATTGAACTCCACTTAAAAGTTTTGTACATGCATTTGTGCAAGCTGTCGCTTTTGCGTACATATCTTTTTATCTGCCTATTTAATGACTCAACACGATTATTCGTGTTGTTACCCAAAGTTAATACACTGCCGTAAAAGGCACGCGCCCACATTGTTTTACGTGGCATCCAGAAACGTGATAGGTACTGGCCTATCACTGTCTCCGCGGTTTATTATTCTGTAATATTGATTAAATCTAGTGAATAAATACATTAAAAAATTACCTTCCGACCGTTTCTGCGGTTACCAGTCGAGTCAAGTAGGTTTTTAGTATTTTATCATTTGTCTAAAAGAAATTTTATGTAACCAACCATTGGTGTACCTTTTTCCGGAAAGCGCGAATCACATGAAAGGCGCACAAAATAATGTTTGCATGCCCGTGCGTTATACGGACAGCCGCGCTTTCAGATCGTGCGCAATCCATCACAAATGTTTCTGTTTTGGTCGTGTTACCCATTATCTCCTTGAATTTATCCAAAATCCACGTAACATCGGCACGCTTTTCTTTTTGTGTCCATGCAAACATAACAGTTCGACCTCGACCCCAATTGTCTATCACCACTAACTGGAATAATGAATATCTACATAGTAGAACAAAACGAAAATCATATTCACTTTTTATTATTAGTTTTATAAGTAGAATCAATACACACGACTTCGGGATATTGATTGTACAGCCGTATCTGATCATAACTGCTGAAGCATATCGCCGTAATACATCCATTTTCTGCATGCTCTCTAACTTTACCGTTTTGTCGCATCATCTGCAATACCTGCTTCCGAGTCCAACCTGAAATATATTTATATACACTTACCAGTGGAGAGTTCAGCTTTCATATTTTTGACATCAGCAGCGGTCACCTGCTTACCTGTTCTTTCCTTAATACTTTCGATAACTTCGTCCGTCGACTGACAGTGCAATATAACTGGTTTCAAGTTTTCTTTTTCTTCTGATGACAATCGTCTACTCAACGGATCACAAACCATCCACGAACTAGTACACGGATGGTTGTGAAACATGTTGTAAGATTTTATAACGTATTGTTGACCCTCCAATCTTACGCGAAACATCGACTGGCAATTTAAAAATTCAGACCTTACATGTAACACATTAGTTAGAGTCCTCACGGTTTTTTATTCACATTCAGACCTTCTGATTTACGTTTACGACCAAACGTGCAACGAAACACTACGAACAAGTATTTATATCTCACATCCTTCAACAATCTACTTTCTGCGTGAACATAGTGTGTATGGGTCATCTGAGAAAACATAGATTTATCCTATCATACTTTATGGAAATCCTTTAGCGCATTATCTAATTCAATCCAGCTTCCGAATCTCTTGTTCAGCATAATACGTTGGAACGCGTCGCTTACGTTCACTGAAATTTCACTTGAGCATGAAGCACTAGAGACAACATACAATAGTTATTAAAAAAAGGTTATTCCTTGGAAAAAATTAACTGAAGGAAGAACAACAAATATTTAGGACTTACCCTTCAGTTGACATTTCGTCTTAACCCACAAAAACTATGCGCACCTATAACCTTTTACGTTATTTTATCTTTCTTACGTTGTTTTCTGGACCTTATCAACAAATTATATATAGCTGTTGACTTTCACTACAGCACTTAGGACCACAGATCAAGTTTCGAAGGAACAACAGAGCTAAAGTGTGCAGTACAAAACAGAAAATACTCAGTTAATGCTCTACGCAGTTATTTAGTGTTTATTATGCATCAAAAGATGACTTATATATGGAAACATTTAATACTCATAGGACCCAACACACACACGGCAATTGAAATACGGAATGCCCGCTTCCAGTCAGCGCGTTCAAGGTCGTTGAAACGAAACGGCGGACAGATTTGAAAGGGATTACCGTTTTTACCTTGCCCTTTCGCTGCACAAGTTACGAAAAAGTACTATGAAAGGCATCGTGGTGGTTGGCAATATGCGTTAAAGAGAATGAACATCAATCATATGTCAATTCCCGAGCTACTAAATTCTAACTGCCAATCACTAATCAACAAAGTGGACTATCTGCAATTCATACTTAGTCAAAATACGTATCGTAATTGTGGTGTCATCACAATTCAAGAATCTTGGTTGAATGATTTACAGGATGACTGCCTTGTATCACTACGTGGTTTTAAAATTTATCGTCAGGATCGATCGAACAATAAAAAGAGGTGTGGTGACGGTGTAGCTACGTCTGTAAACATAAACTGGTGTCGATCTTCGTTTGTGTGTTTTAAGTTTTCAAATGACTTTATCGACTGTCTAACTCTAAGATGTCGTCCAAAACATCTGAATAAATACAAATATGTTTATGTTACCAATATCTACGTGACTCCAGATTGCACATCATCTGCACTATCTGTTTTTGCTGATGAATTCACTGAGTTCGCTGTTACTGCCTTCAGTGATTCACTTTTAGTTGTATGTGGTGATTTCAGTTCATGTGACTGTAGCTTCCTTACGTCACTAGGTCACCAAAATGTAGTAGATTTTCCTAGCCGTCTGGATGCTCATCTAGACTTCGTCTACATTAATGATGTGGATATATATGTGACTCGTAAACGTGCTCCATTGTCTAGCTCAGATCACTGTATAATTCGTGTTCTACCTAAAGTATGTGGAAAGCATGGGAAGAGTACACTCTTACGTCAAACCAGGAAAGTCAAATATAGGAATTACTCAGAAGAAAATATCCGAAATCTGAAAAACATGTTTCATACGACTAACTGGGAATTATTTAGAGATGGCTCACTCGAAAACACTATTGATGTTCACTTGTCACCTTAAATTCTGTTTTTGATATTTGTTGTTCCACTGAAACCATTTTTGTAAGTTTTGATCGACTAACTTCACAACTAAAACGACTACGAAGGATGAAAGAAAGAATGTACAAGGAGAAGAACTCTAATGAAGTTCGTAAACTAAATGGTCTGATAAACCTAGAGATTAGACGTCTCAACTGTATGTTTACTCAAAAACTCTTGTCTTGCAAAAACTCTCCACGATCTAATAAACTTAAAGTGGGATCCCGTTTTTCTCATCGAGTAGTCAATCATTGGAACGCCTTACCCGAACAAGTGGTATCAGCCCCATCAGTGAATACTTTCAAGTAAAAGTTGGACCTTCACTGGAAAGCAATGTGTCAGGATTAACACAGGTTCATCAACCTACTATCCTTATTACTGAAGACTGAAGACTGAAGACAACCTATCCAGGCGCTTTTATGAAAAGCCTACGACCTTTCGCTGCACAAGTTACGGAAAAGTACTATAAAACGCATCGTGGTGGTTGGCAGTATGGATGTCTCCAGCCGCTTAATTCATCTCGATGTTTGGGACCTGATGGTATCAAAAACATCCTTTTTAAAAAATGTGCCGACGTTCTGTGTCATCCGTTCACAATTTTCTTTAACAGATCCTTCTCATCTAATCTCATACCGAGAATGTGGAGAAAGATGAAGATAATTCCTGTACTCAAGAAAGCATTTGGTGATAAGAATGTAAGACTTAGACCTATTGCAATAACTTCACCCTTCCTCAAAACCATGGAAAAATTATTAATACTTCCACTTCAGCATGCGATAAAAGAGCATACTAACCCATACCAGTTTGCATACAGGCGCAAAAGAAGCACTTTAGACGCTGTTGCAGTTCTGCATCACAACATAGTGTTCAACTTAGAAATGGGTAAGAAGTATGTTCGATGTGCTTTTCTGGACTATACTTCAGCTTTTGATTCTATACCAAGACAACGTTTACTTAACAAGTTAATCAGCATCAACAACGACAGCTGGATAACCGACTGGCTGTGTTCCTATCTCTCTGGAAGGGAACAGTACACTGTGTTTGGAGGAAAGTGTTCAGAGTTTCTACTGTCTCATGAAGGTGTACATGTACTACAAGGAGCTGTTCTTTCACCTCTTCTTTTCTCTTTTTTTCTGCATGATCTGCCATCTTACACTGAAAACATTGCTGTGAAATATGCGAATGATCTCACTGTATGTATGCCTATATCTTCCTCTTTACATCCCACAGAAATGAATGAGTTTTTGTCTCGTATTGATTGTTGGTCTGTTGGTAATGGTCTCATACTTAATCCGTCTAAATGTCAAGCTGTTAACTTTAGCATGAGACATGAACGGAATATAAACACTATTTTGAGATCCCATAGTGCTTGTACCATCGGAGACTCTTTGATAAACTCAGTGTTGAAGGTCAATTATCTTGGTGTCACCTTTTCCTCTGATCTCTCTTGGTCTTCCCACGTTTTTATCGTTATCGAAGAAGGTTTTCCGTCTGACCTACTACATAGAGATTGCATGCTCTTGGAATTACTCGTCATTTACTCTTACAATTTGTCAATTCTTGCATATTACCTATTATTCTTTACTGTTCTCCATTATTCTTTACCAGGCTTTTGAGAAAAGACTTTGCTGTATTGCGAAGAGTGCTGAAGGCAGTTAGCAAGGTGTGTGGTGAGTCTTTCGAGGTCATAATTAATATGGTTGTGGATAGACATTTAAAATCATGCAAACTCCTGGCAGGTGTCATTTTATCAGATACTAGCCATCCCCTTCACTCTTATCTTTCTCCTTGTATATCTTCTGGTAGAACGAGACGTAATTACATTAAAATCCATGCACGCAAGGAAAAGTATAAAAGTTCTATAATACCTTACCTAGCAAATATACCCTGTGACGAACAGGTTATTAGAGTTAACCTAGCCAATAACCTGCATTCTTAACATGACTTTAATTTTAAATGTTGTACTGTTTTTCAGATTTTTTTTAAACTTTTTTGTCTTTGTTTCTGTTTTCTGTGTAAGAAACTTGTTGAAATACCCTGTGCTGAGAATTCTATATTGTACCGAAATATAATATTGAATAAAGCCATTAATAATAATAATAATAATAATCAGGTCACCTTAGATCAAGATATCTTGACTATTGAATCGTACTTTTCAGTGCTTTCTCGTGACAGCTTTATGTCAGTACTTATTTCTGCTATTAGGTATTTTCGCAACAATACCGGCAGCCAAAATATTGTAGCTCCCCAGACAACCCAAAAAGGGGAAATAAAGGGGTAAATGATTTGGTAGCGAAACGGGAAAACGCATCAGAATGTCGCATTTTTCGCCTGTCCGCGGGAAATAATGTGGATTTCCCCTTTTTTCATCGTTTTGTCGATAAATTACTCACTTTTCGCTTAAATATCCGCCAAATTACTGAATTTTCGCCTAAATGTCTGCAGAATTGTCTACTTTTCGCCTATATACACACAGAACTCCCTATTTTCCATCCACTGACATAACCCCTAAGGTCTCCTATGTTCGCGTTTATTTTCAACAACAGACCAAAATAAATCTGCAATGCGGTGGAAAACCGGCATATTTATGAAAATTTTTATTTACAAGGTAAAGCGTATTATTGTACAACTCTAGAGCAGAAGCTTAAGCACCGATTGTTTTGCATATCTAATGCAATTGCTAATTCATTGTTATTTGAAATTATCTGCAAAAGAAGGAGCAGGTGATGTATTATTTATAAGTAATGTGCATTTAATCAAAAGTTCACTGACACTCAAACACACATTCTCAACACTTCTACAGTTTCCCATGTAAGTAAGAAAGTAAGCTGTTTGAAAAATAATGTTTATTGAAATGTAGGTAGAACATCAAAACAATTGCACGGCTATTGAGAATTGAGGTAGTCGTTCCGTGAGTTCTGAATTAAAAAAAGTCACAACCATATCTCAATGACATGCTTTGGTACAGCCAAATACTTGTGTGGATCTACACAAGAGGTAGTAATGCTATCTTAGCTTGGTCTCTGGTAAAATCTCCACATAATTATACCTCTTCCGCATGATTATAATTTATTTTCTGCAATATAATCATCTAGTGGCTAATATATCTAACTGTAGAAGGTGATATTAACATCTTGGTATGTGTTATTATCATCTATAGCATATACATAATATTTACAACACTCGATACACCTAATGTTTTCACTATCAACCGATTTCTGCCATGAAAGTCGAAAAAACAGTGAAAATCAGCCGAAATTGTGATAAAGACGGGAAAAACGATAAATCTTACCATGGTATCGTTAGTTGTAACGCAGTTTTGATACCATTGACAACTATACAATTTTTATGACGATATATGCCTGAATCATGCTATTTCATATAAGAATAAAAGATTTGTTTACCATCACTGTATACCTAAGTAGAAATAATTGCTAGTCTGCGATGCAAACACGAAAAAACTATTATAGTAGCACCTGTTTAATGAATTTTCAAGGACTTCGCGATACCATGTAACGCAAAGTGAAAAAACCCCTTTTCACCTAATTATCAAAACGGAAAACAGACTTTCAAATTTATTCATA